AAGAAGACATAGAAAATTACTTTTAGAACAAGATATGACTATTATGAATTGTTAGTAATGCCCTTCAAACTCATAAATGCATCGGCTACCTTCATGGATCTCATTAATAGGGTGTTCCATCATTATTTTAATAAATTTATAATTTTATTTATTGATAATATCTTGATCTTCTCCAAAAGCAAGGCATGAACACCATCTTAAGATAGTTATGGAAGTCCTAAGATAAGAGAAACTATATGCAAAATTAAGCAAGTATAATTTTTGGCTCAATAAAGTTATGTTTCTCGATCATATAATTTTGAGTGATTGTATATCTATTGACCCTCGTAAGATTAAAGTTGTGATAAAATAGAAGCAACTTTCTAATGTTTCAGATATTATAAGTTTTTTGGGTTTGGTTGGATACTATAGAGGATTCATAGAAGACTATTCAAAAATAACAGCACTCTTGACCAGGTTGACATAGAAGAATATAAAGTTTATGTGGGATAATAAATATTAACGAAGTTTTCAAGAATTAAAGAAAAAATTAACTAATGCTCATATCTTGGTGATTCCTTCAAGGGGAGAAGGTTTTGTAGTGTGTAGTGATACCTCACTACAGGGGTTTGGTTGTGTTCTAATACAAAATGAGAGGATAGTTACTTATGCGTCTAGGCAATTAAAGCCTCGTGAGAAGAACTATCCTTCTATGACTTAAAGTTAGCAGCTATCATTTTTGCAGTAAAAATTTGGAGGCATTGTCTCTATAGATAAACTTTTAAAATTTTCACATATCATAAGAGTCTCAAATATATTTTCACATAAAAAGATTTAAATATGAGACAAAGAAGATGGTTGGACTTTCTAAAGGATTATAATTTGAATATCAATTACCATCCTGAGAAGGCTAATATAGTTACTGATGCCTTAAGTAGAAATACTTCTAGTCTTATAGCTTATATGAATATTCAAAGGAAGTCTATAATGACAGAGTTAACATACTTAAAACTTAAACTTTTATTGGAGATAAATAAAGATTTTTTTGCATGTTTGATGACACGATCATATTTAGTAGAAAAAGTTAAAGAAGATCAGAAGGAAGATGCATATCTTCATATGATAGTTAATGAGATAGCTCAAGGATCTAAACTCAAATTCCTCCAAGTCGAAGATAGTTCTATTGTATTCCACAATCGACTTTGTATTTCCGAAAGTCATCTAATAAAGATGTAATTATTGTATGAGGCACACAGATCAAAATTTAATATCAATCTTGGAACTACCAAGATGTATCAAGATTTATGCCAAAATTACTAGTGGTGTGGTATAAAGAGAGATATAGCAGAGTTTGTTTCTAATTGTCTAATATGTCAACAGGTGAAGGCAGAACATCGAATACCTACGAAAAAATTATAAAGGATTTTGATTCTTGAATGGAAGTGGGAGCAAGTCACTATGGATTTTATAACAAGATTATCCAAGATTGCAAAAGGATATGACGGAATTTAGGTAGTAGTAGATAGACTTGCTAAATCTGCTCACTTCCTCCTTAGTAACAAGAAGTATTCATTGGATAAACTAGCAAGATTATATATTAAGAAGATTGTTTGATATGATAAGATGTCAATTAGCATTATCTCATATAGAGATCCAAGATTAACCTCTAAGTTTTGGGAAAGCCTATAAAAATCTTTAGGCACATAGTTAAAGTTTAATACAACTTTCCACCCCCAAATCGATAGCTAATCTGAAAGAACAATACAAACTCTTGAAGACCTCTTAAGAGTATATGCTTTAGACTTTGGTGGAAGTTGGGATATGCACTTACACCTAATTGAGTTTTTTTACAATAATAGTTATCACTCTAGTATACAGATGGCCCTATTTGAAGCTCTTTATGGAAAAAAGTGTAGATCACGGATGAGGTAGGAGAACGAAAACTTTTGGGACCTCAATTAATTCAAAAAAATATTGATAATATTCGAATTATACATCGAAGATTATTAATAGTTCAAACTCACCAAAAAAAGTAATGCATATCGAAGACGAAGAGATCTAGAGTTCAAAGTTAGTGAGCACATCTTCTTAAAAATGTTGCCCACCAAGGGAATCATGAGGTTTGGTCAAAGGGGGAAATTAGCCTTTAGATTCATTAGCTCATTTGAGATCTTACAAAAGGTCGAGCATGTGGCATATATATTGGCATTGCCCTTGGTTTTGGCTAGCATCCATGATGTATTCCACGTATCTATACTTTGGAGATATATCAGGGATCCATCACGTGTCATATATTACCAACCTCTATGACTAAGAGATGATACAACTTTTGTAGAATAACCAACCCAAGAAAGGAAAGAATATATTCTAAGAAATTAAATTATACATTTGCTAAAGATTTGTTGGCAATACCATTCATACCAAGAGGCAACGTGGGAAAGAGAAAAAATATGCGAGAGCAATATCCTCATCTATTCTATTAAGGTAAGCTAAATTTGGGGACTAAATTTTCTTTAGGAATGGAGAAATATAATCAAATCAAATATTTAATTCAGGAATCAACTTTTATTTCTTTACTTCTAATTGTAATTTAGGAAATATTAATCTTATTTCCTTGTTTACCATTACGAATTAGGAAATAATATCAAATTTATTAGTATATTAAATAAAAATAATTTATATTAAATAAACATAAAAATTAACAAAAACTTGTTTTGATGGAGGCTCATAAGGGATTTCTCTCCATTATTCCTCACCTAGCCAAGAACAATAATGAGATAAACGAGAAGTTATATCATATTGACGAGAGGTAGGTTTCCTTACCTTTTTTAAAAATAAAAGTTTTTATTTTGATTTCTTAAATATTAATTTTGAAAATATTTATCAATCCTTTTAATATCAAAATATTTATTATTGGATTAAAATATATCATATGAAGTTTTTAAGAGATTCATCGATCCTCTTTAAAGGTTTTTATTTTGGATTTAAACATACTGAAATTATACATATTTTATGTGTTGAATACATGATATCCGATTTTTTATATTTGGATTAAGAATGCTATTTCCTCGTATTGCAAGTTATCTTTTAATCTTATCTAGATTAAAATATATTATGAGTAGTTCAAAAAATATTTCTTAATCCTTTAAATGTTAAAAATTTTATTATTAAATTATAATATATTATCAAAAATTATTTATTTTTTTTTTAATTTAGAATTTTATTATTTGATTAGATTATATTAAAATTATTCATGTCATATGTCATTTCTTTGTATTTAAGTTTATCTTTTAATCTTATTCTTTAATTTGTTGTTATGTTTTAATATATTATTGTTAGTGAATATATGTCGTCATAATTCGATATTGATATTTAATATTGTTATAATCTTATTCTTTCAGGTTGTTTATCTTTCAAACAATCTACAAGCCAAGCCCAACCCATAGGTCAGGCCATAAGCCACTAGCCAGGCCTGGCCTACGGGTTAGGCCCTAGCCCATCGGCTAACCCAGCCCAGCCCAACATGGGCAGTCATATACGATACATATGATCAGTCCATAGGCCAGGGTTGGCTCAGCTTAGTGTGATGTATGCACAGTTATATGTGCAGTGCACATAGCTAGTATAAAGGTCACCCCAACCTAATCCAATATTATATAATTATTAGATTTGAGCCCAAACATTGATTGAATTAAACCAGACTTGATTAATCTAGATCAATTCAGGATGATTCAAAATTGGTTTGACTTATTTAAGTCAGTTTAACCTAAATTAAACTCAATCTAGTCCAAATTATACTAAGGTGGTTCCAAACTAATTAAATAAAGATTGAAGATCAGTTCAGTTAAGTTCTAATAAATCGAGTTCAATTAGATCTATTGAACTATGGTTCAAGTCAATTGAGAGCTAATTAATATTATTTAACATTGATGATATTTGAAATAGATGTTTTAAATATATTATTATTTCATCCCAATATAGACATGACTAGTGTGAGATTATGTTATTTTCTTACTGAGGGCAGGTAAGGTGATTTACTTTGGGGATTAACAGGCCGTCAGACGTAATAGTTGGATGGTTCCTCTATCCGCTGTTAGGAGTGCGATATGAGTTTACCTCTATTCACTGTTAGGTAAATACAAACTCATCTAGTAGAATATAACCTCTTCATCCATTATTGAGTGAGTGCTCCTTCGGTATTTAATATACGCCAATGAGATTATTAATTTTTGATCATGTATTCATTTTAAATTAACTTTTAGGATTTCTACTTACTGAATTTTCTTTGTTTTTGATTTGTAGAGTAGCTTCCCATTAGCACTAAATTGGATTTCAGTGGAGAGCGGACCTTCCTCTACTACTAGGTAGAGTCATTTGGATGATTCATCGAGTTAATATCACTATGTTTACTTTTCAATTTGTGATTTGATAAATAAATAAATTATAATAAATATTTATAAATTATGAATAAAATGATGTTTATCTATTTGGTTCGGAAGGCGAGACAAGATGTGATATGAAAAAATAAAAAATTTCAAAATGTGACAACGTAGTTTTAATTGTTTCAGCTCATATTTTAAGGCCCATGTGAACCAGTCCAAAATGTGTATGTATCACCACTGTCTTAACATTTCTTGTTATCCACCTGAAACTATGCAAAAGGAGGCAGCTTTTAGTTCTCCCATCTGAATCAGTTATCTATCCGAAATCAACTTATTAGAAAAGTTTCGATGGACAAACAAAGTCGCAGCTTCAATACAAGCAAAAAATGATCCTACATTAATTCAGAAGCATAAAAAAGTTACTTTCAGATTTAGAATTAAATGATTTTGTTCCAGAACTGGATAATTATCAGACAAATATCCCATTCAAATTCCCAAATTTTTTTCTGCTAAAACAAAAGTTCATAACCAGTCAGAGAGGTTACTTTCCTTGGCATGAACAACTCAGATTCAAGAGTGCATCACACATACTTCCATGAAAGAATAATTAATTGTGTGGTAGAACTTACGAATCAAACAGTAACAAACATAACATTATGATACATACTGAAAATTATGCATATGAGGAAATGACCCTTTCCTCATGGCTGTGAATCAGAATCTGTCAAGAATTCTTCCCTTAGATATGGATAACTGAAGATGCAGTGACTATTGTCCAACATTTTAGCTTGCATACACATGTATTCAAGCTTCCTGGAAGGCAACATGTAGCAGGCACATTTGCATGGGCAGGTTGCAGAACATGTAAACATCATATAACTTAAAGAAGGCAGCCAAGAACAGAAGACATGAAAGTGTTGCACTCAAAAACATGCTACCATCTCCATACACTCTTCATCTACTTGTCTTTGGTGTCATTAATTCCTTCAGTTATCATGGTCTTCAAACTTGGTGACTTCCCTGTGATTGCTTTTTTTACCTTGGCAATAGACTTCTTCACCTTTGATAAAATGCTATTTTGTGGGCTTTGAGATTTCTTACCAGAAACATCTGTTTTAGGAACCTCCCCATCTGTTTTTGTGTCACTATTGTCTTTGGTGTTTTGAGCTAAGCTTTGATTATCAACTTTCTTGGTCTCTTTCTTTTTATCTTCTGCACTTTCCTCTAACATTTTATGCAGAAGAGTCTGTCTGGCTGCTTGCTTTTGTTCTGTGTCTAACTCTTTAGGATCATGTTCTGGATCAATGGAAGACGCATTGTTGCTGTCTTCAACTCCAAATAAATCGATTTCTCGAGTGTTGTTGTTCGAATTCGAATTTCCACCTTCCAAACTCTCATTCTTCACCTCACCAATAAATCCAACACCTTCAGAAGTATTTTCTTCTTCAGTATTTCCAGCTACTACATTTTCAACATTTAAAGTAGTTTCTTTTTCCCCATTTTTAACATCCACTTCTCGCTGCACAGCACATTCAGGAACTTCAGTGGCAGCAGTGGTATCAGAAACCTTTACAACACTTGTGTCTGACACTCCTTTCTCTTCGGCAGATTCTTTGTTGCCCTCATCAGCATTGTGATCATCATCTGTTTTTTCAGTTGGCAATTCAGGAACAATATTTTCTTCTTCAAACTCTTTAGGCTCACCTATACAAGGAACTATAGCAATTCCTTCTGAACTTTCAACTTCAACAGTTTCATGAACCTTACTGATTGGATCTTCAGTAATGGGTGGTGAGGTTTCATTTCGAAGAAGTTCTTGGGATGTAGGATCTCCCTCTTGTGTCTTTTCTGCTGTTTCATCTGCACTGAGGGTCACATTGGCATCAGGAGCAGGTTCCTGGACTAAACCGACAGTAGGTGGTTCGACAGGTTTGTCATCTGTTACTAATGGATCAATGGAAGATGCCTTGTTGCTGTCTTCAGCTTCAACTGAATTGATGTTTCGAGTGTTCTTGTACAAATTCAAATTTACACCTTCCAAACTCTCATTCCTCACCTCACCAATCAAACCAACACCGTCAGAAGCTTTTACCTCTTCAGAATTTCCAGCTACTTCATTTTCAACATTTACAGTATTATCTTGCTCAACATTTTTAACAGTCACTTCTGGCTCCACAGCACATTCAGGAACTTCAGTGGCAGGAGTGGTATCAGACGCCTCTACAACACATGTGACTGACACTTCTTTCTCTTCTGCAGATTCCTTGTTGTGCTCATCAGCATTGTGATCATCGTCTGCCTTTTCAGTCGACAATTTGGGAACAATATTTTCTCCTTCAATCTCTTTATTCTCATCTATAGAAGGAACTATACCAATTCCTTCCGAACTTACCATTTCAACAGTTTCATTAACCTGATTGATTGGATCTTCAGTACCGGATAATGAGGTTTCGTTTCGAGGAAGTTCTTGTGACGTAGGCTCTCCCTCTTGGGACTTTTCTGCTGTTTCCTTTGCATTGAGGGTCACATTGGAATCGGAAGCAGGTTCCTGGACTAAACCAACAGTAGGTGGTTCAACAGGTTTGTCATCTGTTACTAATGGATCAATGGAAGATGCCTTGTTGCTGTCTTCCGCTTCAACTAAATCGATATTTCGAGTGTTCTTGTACAAATTGAAATTTTTACTTTCCAAATTCTCATTCTTCACCTCGCCAATCAATCCAACACCGTCAGAAGCTTTTACCTCTTCAGAATTTCCAGCTACTTCATTTTCAACATTTACAGTACTGTCTTGCTCCTCATTTTTAACAGTCACCTCTGGCTCCACAGCACATTCAGGAACTTCAGTGGCAGGAGTGGTATCAGAAACCTTTACAACACATGTGGCTGGCACTTCTTTCTCTTCTGCAGATTCCTTGTTGCCCTCATCAGCATTGTGATCATCATCTATCTTTTCAGTTGACAATTCAGGAACAATATTTTCTGCTTCAATCTCTTTATGCTCATATATAGAAGGAACTATGGCAATTGATTCTGAACTTACCATTTCAACAGTTTCATGAACTTGATTGATTGGATCTTCAGTACTGGATGATGAGATTTCGTTTTGAGGTAGTTCTTGTGACGTAGACTCTCCCTCTTGGGACTTTTCTGCTGTTTCATTTGCATTGAGGATCACATTGGAATCAGGAGCAGGTTCCTGGACTAAACCAACAGGAGGTAGTTCTACAGGTTTGTCATGTGTTACTAATAGAGAATCAGGTACACTAAAAACTTCTGAAGATTCTTCAATACTTTTTGCTTCTTCAGTCACGATTTCTGAGACTGATGGTTCTTCTGGTGTTTCAATTGAATCTTCTGTAACAGATGCATCTGAAACCTCTGCTGGTTGCTCCACAGGTTCCTTTGGTGATTCAGGGGTATTAGGTACATCAGTTTTGCCCATTGCATCCTTTTCTTCAGCTTCAACTGATGGTTCTGAAACTGACTCATCTATTGCTGCTTCCTTCACCACCTCAATCACAGTGCCCTCTTCTTTTTGTTCCAGATTCTCTTCTGTTTCAGCTGTAGGTGCTTCAACACTTGCTGAATCCTGCACAGCCTTTTCCTCTTCATCTTTTCCTTTTAGATCATCGGGGTTTGAAATTGCCTCATCAGCATTACTTATATCATCAGAAACACTAGTCACAATCTGCTGTAAAAAGGTGTGAACTATTCAGCTAATATAGAAAATTAAAAAGCATGATGATATTTAATTAGGTAGCATATATTGATATTTGCTAATCGAAACGCAAAGGCACCTTTTCTTCTTCATCATTTCCTTTTAGATCCTCAGGCTTTGAAAGACTTGGCTCATCAGCATTACTTACATCATCAGAAACCTTTGTTTCAATCTGTTATAATAGGTTTGATTTATTCATATATCGACAAACAGCTCTCACATATAAATACAGAAAATGCAAAAGCACAATGGTATTTTCTTAGTTAGCATCTTCTCGTATTTGCAAATGCACCTTTTCCTCCCCATCTTTTACTTCTAAATCCTCAGGCTTTGCAGGGTTCGCCTCATTAGCATTACTTGCATCATCAGTAACATTAGTCTCAAACTTCTGTAAAAGGTTAGAACCATTTAGATATCAACAAAAAGCTCTGACAAATAAATAGTGAAAAATACAATAGCACAATAATTTTTGCTCGGGTAGCAAATATTTAAATGACATTTGCAAATGCAAATTCAGATAAACCTTTTCCTCTTCATCTTTCCCTTTTAGATCATCGGTCTCTGAAAGACTCATGTCATCAGCATTACTTACATCACCAGATACATTAGTCTCAATCTTCTGTAAAACGGTTTGAAGTTTTAACTAGTTAAGAAATATAAGAAAAATGCAAAAAACAGAATGATATTTGCTTAGCATGTACTATGGTATTTGCAAGGATACTTGGAAATGCACCTTTTCCTCTACGTCTTTTACTTTTGGATCCTCAGGCTCTGAAGCACTCATTTCATAAGCATTACTTATGTCATCAGAAACATTTGTATCGATCTGTGGTAAAACGTCTAAACTATTCAGCTATCAACTAAAGCCTTTGATATTTGCTTAGGAGTCATATATACTTCATCATAGTCACCTGACATTCACTATTGTCTAAAATTATTATCAGTAAGAGAAGGTATGGAATTTGTATTTCTTATGAGAATTTTTGTGATGGGCAATGTAAGTTTCGCATTGAACTGTTCTGTAAAATTAATATGATGAGAAAGTTGCAGTCTGGTTTTCACTTACTTTACATGCCTGTGAAACGACGAAGAGCGAAATTACCTAGTTGCATTATGTCAATGGAGATCATATCAAAACAGGTCCGAAAAGGTTTGCTTTACTCTTTCTTCGACATAAATCATACATTTTGACATAACGTGTCTGTAGAAATCAAACTAACATAATGTCTGCTGAAAAGAAAAAAGCTAAAAGACCAATTTGGATCTTTCTAACACATCCTTTAACAAAATGCTTTCCTGCGTTATATGACTGGATAAGCTGAACTGCAAATTGCAAATCCTTAAAGGTTGTTCTGTAGAAACTAAATAGAGATATTCTTAAGAACTGAGCAAGCATTTGGTGGATTGCAGTAAATCCTGTGAGTGTGCAAACTTTGGGACCAAATTTCAGTGCATACTGATAGAAAATCTTATCTTCTATCACATACAACATGATTCTTGTATCATCTTGCTTGCCAATTCTACTTATATTAAGTAGTACAAACTGGTTCCATATCAAATACGAAGCTGGTTGTAATCTGCTTTTGGTTTACAATGTAAACTACACTTAGAATTTCTTATGTTAAACTTGTTAGATTTATGTATAAAGACAGATACAAGCTTTCCTGCCTTTCATATCACATTTGTGGATACAATAATGAAGAAATAAGATAAATAATGGTAACTCATTATGTTCAGTAATTTGGTAAACATACCAATTATCTTTTGCAATCAATAACTAACTAAATTTTGTGCATAAAACTTGAAGGCACATCAAGAAAATGTATAAAAATAAATATGATGGAGGAATACAGTAACAACATACAAGAAAAAGAAGACAGGCCATTCTCAAGTGCTAATGGAGACTACAAGATGACTAAGATCGAATTGATGCTAGCTAATAGGGTTTTACTTGTAGGATTTAAAAATGATATAATCAGGGTTCTGAAAATTAGGAAATATTGCAATTTAGAGATAGGATGTCTTGTTCCAGAAACAATCACTCTAGAACAGATTAGCAGAGGCCATATAAAGAGAGGCATAGGATGCAATATTATACACAAAATCATGTATTTGCAAACATTAAACAACTTTTTTTTCTTATTTAGCCCCCCATTTCTTTCCCTCTTCCCTTCTTTGAGGAAACTGGGAGAAACAACCACAAGAGGATTCATCTGAAGAACTTAATGGGGATCACCTACTAAGATACAAAAAAGAAAGAAAGAAAGAAAGAAAGAAAGGATCGTTGGCCAGTGTAATTGTGTTTAATCACATCACCTAGTTGTGAAAGCTGTACTTACACAAAGCAAGAAAGAGAAGGGAAGTATGTAGATAAGGCATTTCTTCTTCACTGACCTCAGTAACCGTTTCATCTGTCACAGAAGCTTCAGAGGCCATGGATCCAGGAGTTTGTATGGTGACAATGGACCCTGTGATGAGCAGCAGAGGCAGGGAAGGCGTGGGAAGATGAGAAGAGACCACAGCAGAGCTGGTCTGGGACATATATAACACCAGTGGCTCAATTAGGAAGCACACAGCAACATGAGCTGGCATGAGTGGATTCCCATGCTAATACTACAGAAGAAGAAGGGAAAGAAATAGCAAAGCATTAAATAAAACATTGCACTGGCCATGAGGTGGCTTTGAATGATTGGGCCTGTGTGGATTCATCAGTGGTAGAACCTTTTGCATTAGGGTTGTTTTCAGTTGTGCTATAGAGGTTTTTACCTTTTGCATAACATCAAATCAGCTTTCTCTTTAGTTTCCAGTCTTTTATTACTTTGCCTCAGTATTTTGTGATGAAGGAAGAAGAAACCATGTTCTATGTTCTTTTTAAAGAATTGAGAGTTCCAAGAATGAATGAAGCAGTGTTGCTTTCAGTCGACAGGATGTGATCTGGCTTTCTCTGTCTTGTGGATCAATCTAGTGTGGTCCTTCTCTGACATAGGTTGTGTTTTGGGCATTGACTTCTGGCTAGTAGTTCAGGAGGTCACTTGAAGATATATATATATATATATATAGATATGTATATCTAAAGTGTAATCCTTCTTTCCACTGAAAAGACAAAAAGCACACAATCTGTGCTGCCAGCCCCCTCTTTGATTCCAATTGTACAGAAAAGCAAAGTGAGAAACTTTTTGCATATTGTTTATATGTTAAGCAATCAATAACAAATCCATTTTTTAGTAGATAAATGACAAATGTCATAAACAGATTACTTTCTTTCAATTAGATCAGCTGGAATATCTGTAACAAATATGTACTAATAATTGTAAATTAATTTTAGGGAGGAGATTGTTCATCCTTGTAACTTGGCTACCCTGAATCAAAAGAAAAAAAAAGGAAAAAGAAACCTACTCCATTGATCATGAAACTTCAGGAAAAAGATTAAATGCTGTTCTTTGGAGGCTTAACTAGTAGTCTTGTTTTCCTTCTTTCTGCACACCTACTACCAGTTAACAAAAGTTCATGATATTTTATGATAACTTCTGCTTATTAGATTTAGAGCATGTCTCAGTGCTAACCAAACTATCATGTTTTTGTCTTAGTGACAACACAAGTACTTTGTATCATATTTGCCAATCATTTTTTTTTCAACCACCACTCCATGACCTAACATTACTGACCACACACACTGCTTCAAGAACAAGATTCTTGGGACAGAGGTCCTCTCCTAAACCACTTGTAGTATCAGAGACCAACAACCCCCTACTGGTATCATCTCTCAGGCCAAGTCAATTGTGGTTCTTGTTATCAATAATTTCTTATTTCTTGATCAAATATTGCTACAAAGCCAACAAGCTATGTTGGCTTGATTAAGAGAAGTAGAAAAAGAATTTGCTGCTTTTGTTGTGTTAAAAGTATTTATTTTGACATCAAAGCTTAATAATATTCAAGCAATCAGAAACAAGTTGTTCATAATTGTGTCAGAAACAGGAAGAAGCCATTATTAGTTTCCTGCTCAAGCTGAGACAATAATCAGAGCCTGAAAATTGTGGTCCTGAGATGGGTTGTATGTGCTGGAATCTTAAATGCCAAATTCCTTTAGCAAAGACAGTGGTCCACCTACATGTTTCCAAAACAATCACTGAAAGAAGTAGTGCCCACATTACTGGATGTTGATGAGCCACAGTATTGGAAACTTTTAGCTTGGTTTCTGAACATGATTTTGGTACCTGACCTTCTCAGAAAAGATCTTTGTTCATAGATTCATCTGCTCCTTGTCCATGCCAAAGATGTATGAAGTGTTGCAGGTCCCATAAAGGCACCCTTTTAATGAAATGCATTGCCCTTTCTTAACAACAGAATATTCAATCAGAGAATTAAATGATGATGATGATGAATTGTGGTAATGTCCATTTCAGCCCCACCCTATTTTCTTTTCTGAAGGAGTCAGAGTAACATGTTTATGTTGGTTTTACAATGATAAATTAACTTGAAGAATTACATGTGCCATCTTATGAAGAGTGTTATTCCTTTTATGAGGTCCAGCTGCTGTTTTTTCCTACAATGTGGAGGAGTGACTGAGTTCAGTTTCTTACCAATATCTGCTGAGCTCCACAAGTGAGCAAATACCATTAGGAGAGATGCCATTGGAGCTTTTGTACCATAAAATCCATCCAACAAAATACTTGTGCCGAGGACATGATGAATGCTTAAATTCATGGAAATTAAAGAACCATAAGTATTGTATATATTTATATATATATATATACCTTTCAGAAAACATACATAACTGCATCTACCGAGTCCAAAGCTTTTCCCAAGCTGATATACGAAGGGAAGCACTGATGCTTCCACTCTACAACGACGCTACACCCTTCTTAGTTAATGATCTTTTTTGGTTGGTGGTTTAGATGACATGCTTTGTTGTTTTGAAGTGAATTCTGCCAACAATTCGTCGATCTCCGCTGAGGTGAAGTTCGTCCGGGGAGGAGGGTCAGAGCGGGGCGCCATGGTCGGCTTCTTCGGCTGCGGCGGCGGCGGCGGGCACACGGGCTCGGGGATCCTGTGTTCTGCACCCCGCGGTGTGCTGGGTGCCTCTTCCTCCTCCTCTTCCGGCATGGCCTCCTTGTTATCACTCATGAGAGGCGATGGAAAGTAGGATGAAGATGGAGGAGAGCTATATCGCACTACTATATCTACAATATCATCATTTTCTTTGTATCTATTTATAGAGATTAGAGCATACAATTTTAATGATCATATCCTAAGGGCCATGCACCAATTCAACAGTTCATGCACTAATTTGAAGGTTCATGAACCCTTCCTTATATAGTAAATTTTTATGCATATTTTTGTGGTTTCGATGTAATGTACAAGATAATTAATTAGATATATTTTCTAACATCCCATTTGAACTTTTAACTTTTAAGTGCTTTCACTTAATAATAATGTTTAAGCCAAAGTTCAAGCTCAACTATCCTATTTTTGGAAGCTTTTTCATCTTAATATAGTGCATGTACCAAGACATCATTGCCTTTGATCCTTTCCAAGTTTATTGGATAAATTTTGGTTCTCCATTTGGAATTGATACTAATATGATTAAAAAAAATCATATTTTCTCGATATAATTATAATTTCTCCTTGCATTTAAATATTATAAATTATCTATTCATAATGATTATATGACAATATTCATAACTAGAAAATAGAAAAACAATATTATTTATAAGCCTAATTGTGATACCTCATGAACTTCTCTTTCAAAAATCATTCATCAATTAAACATCTTATTCCATCAAAAATAACAAAAAAAATCCATTTATTACAACTAATATTTATCAAGTTATGAACCATCTTATTATCACTCCTAGCATTATAAGAGATCACTCAACACTCAAATGCTTAGCTAAAGCCACTGATTCCATTGGAACACCAGGGAACATCAACAACATATTCCAACCCATACAGTCTAATACTAATGGCCCAAACCTAATGCTTTGGGTCACATCTCAATTGGGTTTATTGGATATATGATGTCTCTAATGAACCAAATCATGTAAAATAAAGTACAATTTTTCTCTACATTTAATTTTGAACGATTCAATCTAAACCACCTGAGAACTCATTCGATTCTGAACAGTGAGAGCAATTTCATCAAACATGTAGTTGGAATCAGCCTTGCTTCTTTTCCTTATAATTCTTTGGAGTACCTCTTCTGTGTGGCTCGCATTGAGATGAGATGAGTTCATATTCCATGACCATTTAAGCTGACAGCATCTAAGAGTGAGCCAAATCACTCTGCAGTTCCGAGTTTCAACATTTCTTTTTCTGAGAACACATTCCATCAGCCGAAAGAACATCAAATCAAACTAAACTTCCATGGTTCTGAAACAAATTTGGCAGCAAGTTGTTTGCTTTGCAATTGCAACCCTTTGCTGCATTCTGCATCAGTTTCTAAATCAGATATCCAACTTCCCCAGTCGTGTGTGTGTGTGTCTGTGTGTGTGTGTGTGTGTTAGTCCACCCCTGACATGCTGATCTCATGGAATCCATGGCCAACCATGGCAAATAATACTCGAGTACAATTGAGATGCTTTTGGATTTCAGCTTGTTCCTCATAGCAGAGTCATTCCCATCACTGTTTCTGATTTAGGCCTTCGTAGCATCAACCAGCCTTTCTCCTTGTCTCCCTTCTCTTGGCTGTATCACTCTCCTTTCTCTTGCTACTCAATCTGTTAATGTCAGATCAATTAAATTAAAGTTCACTCCACTATTCCAGTCTCCACCATCATGAGCAATAGCAGAATTAGATCTCCCTGTCCTTGTTGATTGTATAAGATTTATATATATATATGCTCTTTCAATGTGCACCATGTCGGTAAGCATCATTTAGTAAGGAGAACTGGAAGAATCATATCTTTTGAGCAATAGTCGGTGCACTACTTGGCGATGATGTAAGGTCTGATGGCAGATGACTGTCATTTTACACTAAACAAGAGGGAGAAGGATGATTGATCAAGTATGGGAGAGACAATGGAATGCTTTCTTAAAGAGGATGGTCGGCAATTGGCACGTAAGAAGATTTTAGGCGTTCCAAGATCCATCTTTTCTCTTGCAGGAGTCAATTGCCGTCACTGATGTGCCTCTCCGTAGGCATTCCCTTTCATGGATCGAAAGTTAACCGCAATTCTAAGCCCCTCCATCTCGGAGTTCACGTGAAGCGATGATCACCATGGAAAGCTCATCGAAAAGCTTCTAAGAAAAAGGGACCTCGATCACAGTCATGATACTGTAATAGCTACGGAGCAGATGATTTGTGTACTTGAGCTGGTCCGGAGAAACATAGCATGATGAAATGATACGATGTAAGCTTCACCTGCTCCTCTGCAGCTATTCTCTGACATGAAGATCACGGAAATACCTACTACGATGTAAGATACTGATCGGTGAGGTCTTGTTTTGTCCATGACAGGCCAGTCAAAGAACAAATCCTGAGAGGATCTTTGCCTTTAAGCAGGAGGCGGAGACAAAGCCGCTTTCCTGACCCGATTCAAGTCAGCTTAAAGAAATAATTGTTGGTGGAGATGCTAAGGAGATCAAGACATACTTTTGAAACTCTTGATGTAACGAGAAGCCATCTCTACAGAGAACACACGGCCGAC